GTTGAATAGCAAATGTGTCGGTCCATGTGTCCCAAGCAAACACAACGCAACACGGCCAGTTACCAGAGGGACAGGCGAGATGGCGGGGACTAAGAGGACAGCTTAGAGACTCAAAGGCGACCGTTTACACTTAAACTGGAATTATCCTTCTTTGTGCTCCATGTAAGCAAACGTGTGTGGGATACGTTCAATGACGTTTCTTTCTTTTATACTTGTACAGATTAGGGATATAAGGTATTGTATGTGTTAGGCATTAGGGGTTAGACGTCATGGTTAATCTGCACCCTACCCATGACCCAAGTTCAGTAACTTCCTTCTGAGATTGACAGTTTCTAAATCTGGGTTACAATCTGCCATCTTGCCTGCAACTACATCCCTTTCACTCTAGCTGTTCCATCTTGCTTTCCATTTTGAAATCACCTCTGGACGTGAAGTTGGATCAACCAATCAGCTTGCTAGACATGCAAGTCTGCACAATGCACAGTGGAGATTTGGAAGGTGTGGGCAACAGGTTCTCTATGATCTACAGTTATACATTACACCCTTCTCCTGCATAAGTCTGCATAGACGTTCAAGTGAATCTATGGAAAAGAATAATTCTGGCTTTTCTTGTGGCTTTAATTTCAACCGAGTGTTGGTCAGTGGGAGCCAGTAAGCAACAGAAATGTGATGCCTTATTTCTGAGATTTCTGGGAAAACTGTTGTAAGGTAGGCTGTTGATTAATTCATCCTGATATGACAACACTAAAACATAAAAACTGATATAAAGACCACTTTTTCTACAAATATACAAGCTTCAAATAAAATTAAAAAACCTACTGTCAAAAAGCAAAAAAAAAGTCTAATACATGTTGTATATATACTAAAACAAACACTGGATTGCTGAAGACTGGTAAGGCAGAATACCCCAACAACCTACTCACTGACGAGTGTCAGTGCACCATAAAATCAAAATTATTTACAGAGCATATACAATTGTCTAAAAAGACCATGTCTGTAATCCAAAAACATGCGTAATATACACTATTTCATTTGAAATATCTATTTGTTTCTTGTACGTAGATCTATAAATGTTATCCATTTTGGCTGGTTGTCTTAGTGGCGCATTGGAGAAGAGGTGTAAATAGACAATTATCCTACTAAAGGCACCTGAATCAGAAGCCAATCATAATGAGAACAATCCAAAAGGCACTAATAAATAGACTAATCCACTTACAAATTGTTATCTGATTAAAATTTTAGATAAGAGGCATCAAGAATTTTTAAAATATGTTTGATAATTTTGCATAGTGTACAATGAGTTGAAATGTAATTATGTTACTAACTACAAAATCAATCCAAATGACTGAATCTCAATTTTGTCAACACGACAGATGAAGTGACCTATGTGTAAACCTAAACAAACACGTTTTCCTTAATAAAGATTAAAGTTAATCTTAAGGTTGATCATTTAAAGACAAACATTTTGTGAGAATTTAGAATAGAGCTTGGTTTACAGCCTTGTACTTAAAAATGGGTCACATCCTCCATAAGTTAATGTAAGTATTAATAAGGTAGCTCCTCTGTTACAACAAATGCCATGATGTGTGTGATATACTATAGATCACCATTCAGCTCCTTAAAACACCACTTAAGGGACCTTTTTGGACGGTGAAAAGCTAATTTGGTATGCTGCTGAGATTTTGTAAGTGAGCAACTCCCACATATAAAGCTAGCACCACAGAACTGAAGATAATACCAGGAGACCTTTACCTCACCCTAGCTTAAAGACTGAATAGGAGAGCACTCACCCTAGCTGACTTAAAGGCGTAGTTGGTGTTCTTGGTAAAACCAGCAAGAGGACGCTCAATTTTGAAAGTACCCAACTGAAAAAATCCTGCCCTTTTGTTCCGACCTCTCTCGAAAGCCACTGCTCCAAAACACATTGTACAATGTAAAATGCACAGCCTGACTATTTACAGATTTCAGCAAAATGCCCCCAATCATAACAAAACGAATAGGTACCTGTCCAGCAGAAATATGGCCACCGTTGTCGCTTTTCAGCCCCTTTTGTTCTCTCTATTGTCATTGTTCAAAAGCCACACTGATGTTAATTCTGGTTTTACTTCTTGCAGCATCCAACTTCTTTTTAGTTGTAACTTTCTCAAATACGGTCTCCTGTTACAACAGAAAGCTGCTGTGGGTACCTTATCTACCACAGCTCATGGGCTTTAGCTATAAATACAGAGCAGTAACATACAGTATCTGCCTGCAGCACCATGTAGGAGACTCTTGGCTTGTGCATTGAGTGCAAGGGCAGAGTGTGCGCAAATAGGACGTAGGTTGACAGGCAGGTAGGCCATTCAATGGTTTTGCTCGAACTGAGAAGAATTACTGGGCAGGTTTTTTCTTTATGTTGTCAGTGCATTTAATATATTCATTGCCATTAGGATCAAAAGTGAATTTCAAATAATGTAACAAAAATGCTTCTGAATAGAATCACCAACCCCACCTTTAAGTTAAAAACATCAAGTTATGGTTTTGCATGAGGCTAGCTAGCTCTTTTCATATGCTGCCAGTCTTTATGCAAAACTATTTGCCTGCTGTCTGTAATGTTAGCATCATATGTACTGTACATTCAAGAGGGTGGTATCAATATTCTCATCCAACTTGCTGCAAGAAAGAGAATATGCAAGAAAACAAACTTTTAAGCTGAATAGTACATAATCATGTTTTAAAAGGAGGCTAGGAAGCTTTTCCTATATTAAATTTGAATGACATATTAGATAGTGAGAAATTTCAATTGGTGGTGATTGGAAAAGAAATGTGTGAGGTCAAGTAAGATAATAGTACAACATATTTTTTCAGTAGATACACCTAATTATGTACATTCATACCTTGCATATTCAAATCCCTCTGTGACAGTAATACTAAAAGCATTTCCTCGCTTCATGTACACACCCAGGATGAAAACACCTGGCAAAGAAGATCCTTGAGAGTGTGGAGCTGGGAAGCTCTAGATGATCGAACAGAATAACGTGTGCATACAAACTTTGGCAAAGTTTCTGATTGTGAACATGTAGCAGAACAGTAAATGTAACCAGAGTTGCTTGAATAAACATTCTATATGAGTGAAATAAGTTATTGATTAACTGTTGCTTTGAGATGAGCTGATTCCTTGATTAATTTCACAATTTTTTCATGGCTAGTTACTTGAAAATGCAGGTGTAGATGTGTTTTAACATCTCTACATGTGTGTATTAGCTCTACACACATAATTTGCTGAAATTTTATGGACGATGACTCTCTGCCTCCATATGTCTCCTTCAAGTGCACAGGGGGTTGAGGAACTTTCCTGCCCTGCAATGTGTTTGTTCCGTCTCTTCACAGCTGGAGATAACAGTGATGGTTATTTTAGCATGTCTTGGTGGCACATTAAACCAGTGTCTGTTACCCTCTCCATGGGTTTATGTTGTGGCACATCCAGGAGGAAAAGGAAAAAAAAAAAATATATATATATATATAAACTGTGGCAGAAAGTTTCCCTCCAGTGATATTCTCTGAGGGAAAAACTGCATCTTAATCCTGTGCAGCATATTATGTACACACTTTGAGGTTTTATAATCAGTGTTTTTTGAAGGAAAGGGGAGTCACGTATCTCAAACCTTTGACGAGCTGACACAGTGGGAGAAAAGACATGATGGTGTTGGGCACTTTATACTGTGAATCTTGGGTGGGGTGGGGGTCTTAGTGATGGTCTTTGGAGCCTGGGGAATTGTGGACCCAGTCAAGGACGATGAGTGACAAGCTGCCGATCATAAAGATGATTCCCACCACTAGGAAGATAGTTGCCTGAATGAGAGAGAGGCAGAGCAAGAATTAAATGTGGTTGGATTTGTGATGATGCATATCAGGGGTCTGTTGAAACTTCTGATGAATCACATTTTGAAACTTTACACCTCAGGGGTGAGAAAGCTGTTGACAAAGTGTGTATGAATGTGTTTCTCCACACTTACCCCAATCTTCTGTGGGGAGCGAAGTGGCACTGACTTTACCAGACGGATGTAAAAAGCAGCAGGTAAGACAAAGATAAGATTGGTGGCAGCAGAGGCACCTGCAACAAAACCAAGATGAAGATTGATTCAGCCAATCTAACACCAGCTTGTAAATGCTTAGGCACATATTTATCAAAAGTCTCAGAATAAATTGAACTGTGCTAAAAGACTAATAACAGAACAGCATCTTGCATACAGTATTGTCCAGTCTTTCACATGCTGCAGAGAGATCACAATGATGTTACCAACGGCATTTTTCTTAATGTAGCTGCAAGGACCTCAGACAACCCAAAAATGATTAACTTTTTACAAAAATGATGTCTTTATTGTTTGAAACATTCCTACATATCAGCAGAGGCAGGGCCCATTTCATTGATATAACTTAATGCTTCCACTTTTGGGCTGAAAATTAGGTCAGGGAATTTTTGGCAAGTTCAGTTTTCTCAAATAGGCTGTAGCTGAATATTAAGGTGACTTCCCAGAATATTAGTATACTGTTTGTGAGTGTTGGCACCAAGACCATGAGAGCTTTATATCCTGTCATATCATAAATGGCTCATGCTATTGCACAGCTGACCCAACACATTAAGCTTGTTTACTTCCAGTGTCTTTACTTAATAAAGGGTCCCCAGAACTGAAGGTGCTAGCCGGGCCTTCACTGTTAACCTCCCTGTTTTATTAACTCATGTTTCCCCCTACGGTTTATGTGGGTTTTACAAGCTCCACAATTTTTTTAAATCTTGGTATCCACTTTCTCTTTTTGGAAGTATTTAAATGCTAAGACTGACCAATGAAGCCAAAGATGTCTCTGATGGTGGGGACGAAGATGACCAGTAAGTTGTTGAAGACCAGAATACCAGCGGCAATCACTATGTGGCGAATCCAGCTGAACTCTCGATCACTGAATAGCAACGTTGTGATGGAGGAACGGATCTGGGAAAAACACAAAGTATTGACATTTAACACTTTGGCTTGATAACAAAATCAGACAAATCGATTTGTCAATATAACAATGCTGAGCAAAGTTTACTATAGACAGATTGTCCTGTAACAACTGCTGCATTTTCAGTTAACTTCTGACTTCAAAGTACTAGTTTGGTTTAATAAAATATTTATGGTACTAAATTCAACTGACTTCACACTGGAGTGTAGTGAAAATCGTGTCACTATTATTGCTTTCTTTTGTGTTTATCAGAAGCAAATCATTAACAACATGGAGGCAACAGTGGTGCGGTGGGTAGAGCAGTCATTTCCAAACTAGAAGGTTGAAGGTTTGAATCTCGGTGCCTGCAGTTGAAGTGTCCTTGGACAAGACACTGAATCCCCCGATGGTTAGAGCCATCAGTTGAGTTGGCGCCACAGATGGCTGCCTTGGTTCTGTACCAGAAACAAATTCCTTGTGTGTAACATACTTGGCCAATAAAGGTGGTTATCCTTATCCAGTCTGATGGCCTGTGTCTAAGGCCAATTCCTATACTTGGCCAAATGCCTGAAGTTTGTCAAGTGCCAACAAGGCTAGTGTTGTGTGCATGTGTGTGTGTGAGAGAGGGAGCCAAAAAGAACCAGGAGATCCCAGTTAAGATGCCTGGTGCTTGCTGAACCACAAGCAGCTTGTTCAAGCTTTCAGTCAGAGAGAGGTTGTGGGTGTCAGGTGAAACCTGAGTCACCTTGAGTTTACAGGGCATAGGGGAAAAGGTTATAAGGGCTGATGCTTACCGCACCCACTGTCAAAGGCAGGAGATTATCTCCTACAGGGCAATGGAACCATGGGATTGCATCAGCCAGCAGTTAGAGGAGGGCGGGATCACCTGCTGGGGAGGAGGTGTCTTTTTACATGAAGCTGCTATTGAACTTTTCTTTCCCTGTCAGCCTGTCTTCTTTCCTCTTTTACATACAACTCCTACATTAAGACCGATGAGGGCCATGAGTTTCTGTAACATTTAATTACAGCTGTGGCAGACACTTTAAACAATAGAGGAAGGGTTTAAAGAGTGTAACTGTAACATCTTTATTTAGTTTAACTGAAAAGGATGAGGCATGTGCAACAAAGATCCCCTGCTGGCAGAACACCACATGCCTTCTTTGTAACCTTTCAAGTCTGATTTGTGCACAATATTTCTATCTAGTTAGGATAGTCCAGTAGGGAGGGAATCAAACTGGATTTTCAGCACCGTCACTGACCCAACTGACCTCCTCCATGACTGTCAGGAGGCACCGGTATGATGCCTGCACTTTAACACCCACTGCCAAAGAAGTGTCCCCATTCATTTCACTTGGGAAATAATGACAAAGATTTAAGTGCATCTCTCCTAAAATTCTACAAGCATGCCCCAGCTCCCATCTGCCCCACCCTCCCACACACTGTTTCATAATTATGCTGGCTTGGAAAACTAGAGCCAGGACGTGGCATTTCTCTCCAAGGCTCTAAACTATTCAGCGCCCAGCTGTTACCTGGCACAAAGCCTTTGGAGTTCACTGTGTGATATTTGTACACTTTTTAGTCTTTACATCTTACCTGTCAGAGGCCTACACACACATATACCCCCTCATAGTACATGGACCAACTAGTTGTAGGCAGCTGGATCTGGGTCCAGTAAGTGAGCAACAACCCAAAAATAAAGATCTTAACTACATGAGATAGGTCTGCAAAACTTGTGCAAGTTACAAATAGATAAAACAAATCATGTGCACTTGTGCCCATTTATTGTAAACAGGGGCATTTTTTCTGTTAAAGTCAAAAAGTGAGAAAGTAGGCAAGCACTGTGTCAGAGTTGTTAAAAGTACAGTAAGTGCTGCCCTCCTTGGACCCATCATTTCAACAGAAAGCCATTGCTTTTTTTGTGTTTTTTTTAAAACAGCCACACATTTGAATTTATTCAAATGTTGAAATACGAAGTGAAACTAAACACAGCAGGGTGAAAGCCCCCTTTCAAATGAAAATATGAACAGGAAAGTAGTATGTTTTGACTACATGCGTATTGAACCATTCTTTGAAACTAGACAGCCAAACTTTGGCTTTTTTTTTTATTACAACCAAATCAAACTAGGAGTAAACTAAACATAATGTAATGAATGTGGACACAGGCTCTCTAGATTCTCTGCAGCATTTCAACATCAATTACAGCCAGTAAGCCCTGAGTGTGCCACCCTATACAACTTCTCTCTCTACCTGAAAATTTTAGCCAAAATGTTGTATTTACCCTAATGTAATAAACTAGAAGTTGTGATATAATTTCCCAGATCCATTGCAAACCTTTAATAAGAACAACTTAATTCACATTTTTAACTGTAGACTTAATTGGCAGTTTTGACTCACTAACATTTGAAACTGCACAAGTGTTGACTCCTATTAATCACTATGTTTATATTTATAACATAATTAAGTGATTTAAAACCTGAATTAATGGGCTTCCGGTCGATGGTGGTATGGAGCAGACGTGACGCGTGAGAGCTCCTGTGTGCTTCACTCTTCTCTCATTCATTTATAGCCATACCTTGCAGATGGAGTAGCTACCTTTGCACTTTTTTTCCCCAACCTTTGCTTACTTTATAATGACCTTGCACCGTGGTAAATCGGGGAAAAAAGACGGCCAAACCGCCGGCTTATCCATGGGGGCTATGTCTGAGCTACTTGAACAGCACAGATCAGCGCTAGCTACTGACTTTAAAACTTCTTTCAACCAGCTGGAAAGTAAATTCGACCAGGTCTGCTCCACTGTCAACGAACATGGCCAACGTCTCTCATCCCTTGAACTTGCCTCGGAAGATCTGAGTCAGCGTGTCGCAAAGCTGGAAAACATTTGCTCCGGCCTACGAGAGAGCAACTCCAAGCTAACGGCCAAAGTCGTGGACCTAGAGGGCCGCAGCAGGAGACAAAATATTCGCATTCTGGGTTTGGCGGAATCTACTGAAGGTGGGAGACCTACAGAGTTTTTCTCAAGCCTGTTGTGGGAAGTTTTCGGGAAAGAGACGCTTCCATCCCCACCCGAGATTGATAGGGCCCATTGTTTGCTAACAGCCAAGCCGGCCCCTGGCCAGAGACCAACTCCCGTC